AGCCAGAGCCTGCCTGCCCCTGCCCTGGGAAGGGGTCAGAGCAGAGACCCCCGAGTCCCCCCCGTCTCTATGATTCAGAGACTCAGTAATTTCAGTGGCAGATGCTCGCAGGCATGAGTCTGTCCTTCCCCGTTTGGGCTGAAAACCCTCATTCACCTTCATTGCAAATGCCTCCCCGACATGCTGTGTCCCTGCAGACCAGGACTCGGACTCGGACAGCGACCTGTCTCTGGATGAAGAGCGCAGCCTCTCCATCCCGTCCTCCGAGAGCGAGGAGAATGTGCGCCTGCGGGGCCGCTTCCAGCGCCAGTTCAAGCGGGCGGCACACAGCGAACGCCTCCTCACCAACCCCACCAACACCGCTCCCAAAGGCAAGTCCCGCGGCTCTGGCAGGGGATGGATGGGGTGAGCTCAGGTCCCCGGGGAGCCAGGCTGCACCTTGCCATGGCTTTGTTTGCCCCTCACAGAAGTGTTCTCTCCCTCTTCCCCCGGGCCCTTTTGCTGTGTCCCTCATCAGACGTGGACGGCAACGACCTCACGTCGTACTGGCCGGCTCTGGGTGAGTGCGAGGTTCACCCCTGCTCCCTGCAGAAGTGGGGCTCCGAGAGGAAGCTGGGGTTCGACATCAACAAGGATGCGGCCAACAATAACCAGCCGGACCTGGCCTTGACCAGCGGGGATGAGAATTCCCTCACCCAGACCCAACGGCAAAGAAAAGGTAACAGCCTGGGGCGGGCAGGCGGAGGCAGGCTGGCCTGTCGCAGGTTGACGTGGTCCTGAAGGCTCAGCATCAGATCCCTCTTGTCCTGTCTTTGAGGACGTATGGCTCATCTCCCCCGGCTTTCATGCTCTTCACTGCTCCACAAAGATGTGACTTCTCTTTTCTGTCCGGTGCAGGGATTTTGAAGAACCGCCTCCAGTACCCCCCAACGCTCCAAGGCTTGCCGTCCGTCGGCAGGATGACCAACGAGCTGACGTGGTACAAGACCTCCACGCTGGGTCACAGGGCTGTCCCCGCTGCCTCCTACGGCAGGATCTACTCCGGGGCGGGCAGTCTGTCGCAGCCAGCCAGCCGGTACTCGTCGCGGGAGCAGCTGGACCTGCTGATGAGGAGACAGATGTCGCGGGAGCAGCTGAGCAGACACAACTCAGGAGAGTGCCTGGAGGTTGTGCCCAGCCGTCAGGGGTCCAGGGAGGGGCTGGACACCATCCCCAGCAGGCACGGGTCTACGGAACACCTGGAAAGCATCCCGAGCAGACACGGGTCGAGGGAAAACGTGGATCTGCTTGCTGCTAGGCCCAGTCAGAGAGATCGTGGGAGCACGCTGCCCCGGAGGCAGGGCTCCAGAGACCCCCTTGACACTGTACCCTGCAGATTGGGGTCGAGAGAGCAGCTAGACTGTGGGCCAGTAAGAGAGGTCTCTAGAGAGTGGCTCAACACGTTGCCGAGTAGGCAAGTGTCCAGAGACCGAATAGACATGTTGCCAAGTCGAGATCCTTCTCGAGAACAGTTGAATTTGCTTTCTAGAAGACAGCCTTCAAGGGACCAGCTAGCATCGGCTAGACAAACTTCAAGGGAGCAGCTGGACTTTCTCTCCAGAAGATCTAATTCCAGAGAGCCTCTGGACACAGTGCCTAGCAGGCATCCCTCGCAGGACAACCTGGGAAGTCTCTCTAGGAGGCAGCTGTCTAGGGAAAGCCTAGAGCCGCTGTCGAGGAGACAGCCTTCTAGAGAGAACCTGGAGGCCGTTCCCAGCCGACATCCTTCCACCGAACAGTTAGATATCCTTTCTTCCATCCTTGCTTCTTTTAACTCCTCCGTCCTGTCCCCGGTGCAATCTTCCAGCACGCCTTCGGGCCCCCAGACCACCGCCACCCCCTCTGCCGTGCAGACCTCGACGCCCTCCGCAGTGTGCCCCTCGACGCCTCGCTCTGCCACGTCCCACAGCATTTCGGAGCTGTCGCCAGACTCAGAGTAAGTGTGCCCCTTCCTTGGCAAAGCCTTGTTCAGCCGGTCTTGTGCATCGCCCGGCTGCCTGGCCTTTTTCCCGGGGTGGGCTTTGTTTGGCGGGGGAGAGCTGTGTAAGGGGGAGCCCCTGGGGCGAGCGGCAGATGCCTGCTGGTCCTGAGTCCTG